TCTGGTTAACCACGAGCTGCGAATTGCTTTTGATTATAATTTGATTAGTGCCGAGTTCTCGTGCCAGTTCTAAACCTGCAACCATAGCTTCATACTCTGCTTCACTGTTAGTTATAGAATGACATTTAATGGCTTGTCTAATGATTTCACCCGTAGGTGGTACCAAAACGATTCCTAAACCCGGACCCTTTACATTAGATGAACCATCAGTAAATAAGGTCCAAGTTCCTGGATTAGCCCCGTTGAACACCTGCAATTCTTTTTCTGCTTCTAATTGCATCCCTTGGCTAAAATCAGCCACGAAATCAGCTAATACTTGAGATTTTATAGCAGTTCTAGGTTGATATGTGATATCATATTCGCTTAATTCTATAGCCCACTTGGCTAACCTTCCTGATAATTCATGCTTATGTAATATATTGCGTAATGGATAAGCAGTTACGACAATGATAGGGTGACATTGAAAATAAGACCTTAGTTTCCTAGATGCCATGATTAATGCAAGTGCAAGCTTTTCTAGTTGAGGATATCGCGTTTCCGCATCCAATAAAGATTTACTAACATAATAAATCGGAAATTGTTTACCTTGATCTTCGCGGACTAAAACAGCACTTACCGCTACTTCTGAGATAGCAAGGTAGATGAGTAATCTCTCATCATCCTTTGGTTATGCGAGCAACGACGGATTTGATAAATATGTCTTCAAATTTTTGAGTGCCTGTTGACATTCCTCATTCCATTCAAAATGATCGTGCTTTTTAAGAGCTGAAAAGAATTCAAAACACTTTTCCGATGATTTAGAAATGAATCTCCCCAATGCTGCAATTCTTCCCGTTAGCCTTTGCACTTCTTTTTTACTTGTAGGTATGTCAGGAATTTCTTCTATGGCCTTAATCTGCGCGGGATTTACTTCAATACCACGATTAGAACAAAAAAACCCGAAAACTTACCTGATGCAACACCGAATGCACATTTTTCAAGATTCAATTTCATATTAAATTTCCGCAAAATTTTAAACGTTTCAGACAGATGCGATATATGATCTCCTGAATGCTCAGTTTTAACGAGCATATCATCTATATAGACCTCCATAGTTTTTCCCAAATGTTCTTGGAACATTTTGGTTACCAGTCTTTGATATGTTGCACCTGCATTTTTAAGACCAAAAGGCATTACTTTGTAACAGTAAGTCCCCTTGTCGGTTATAAACGAAGTTTTTTCTTCATCTGCGGGATCCATCCTGATTTGGTTGTATCCTGAGTATGCATCTCGTGTAGTACTCGTAACAAAATAATGTTCACGGAACTTACTGGATCAATCAAAACTCATTTCACATTAGTGTCATGTATAAGTAAAGATATTACCAGTGCGTCGTTATGTGGAGTTAATAAGCCATCCGCATCCGCGTCATCGAACGTAATATTTTCTTCTTCTAAAACATGCCGCAACTGCTTCCCGTGGGTAATCGTTACTTTGGAAATCTTATTGGCTGCGTTATACGTCATACCATTGATTTCTTCTCCTCCGCTGATAACATTGACGGTTCTTTTGGGTGAAGCTGGTTTGGGGGGCTCCTGCCTATTCTTCATGTATGCTTGTTTACCTTTCTCACTGAACAACTCGGTGAGATACCCCTGCTTTAATAAATGATCAACTTCACTTTTCAAGAACCTACAGTCTGCCGTTTTATGCCCGTGATCATTATGAAATTCGCACCAATGATCAAGGTTTCGCCTGTTTGGATTCGATCTCATCTCCTTTGGCCATCGTACCTTGTCTCCCATGCTTCTCAGGACAGCCACGAGTTCGGAAGTGCTCACATTGAAATTATAACCACCAAACCTCGCCTTTAAGTTTCTATCATCATCTCATGACTCACGTGTGCTTCGATCATTCCCAAATCTTGAAGACGAGCCCGACTCTCTATTTCTCGATCTGTGATCGTACCTCTGATTATCCTGCTTTGACCGTGAGTCTTTTCCCGCAGGTCTCATGTATGGCTCGTACCTATTTTTACCGGACCTTTTTTCGGTGTCTGCCTGTCTCGAACTTACCTTGTCTTCTTTTTGATGCCGTGAAATAATGTCTTCTTTAATCCTCAGCTTCGTGCTATACCTGTTATAAACGTCATTCCATGTCATCGTTAGGAATTCACGAAGACTTTCCTTGGGTCGCCTCGTAGCTTCTGAGCTTTTTTCATTCAAGTTACTTGTGAATGCTATAGCTGCCCAATTGTCAGGTACGCGTGGTAATGTCATTCTTTCACGTTGGAATCTATCTACGAACTCTCTGAGCAATTCTGAATCCCCTTGCTTGATTTTGAAAATATCCTCCATTCTTTTTTCAACTTTCTGAGCTCCCGAGTGTGCTTTGACAAAAGAATCTGCAAGCTCAGCAAAAGAATTTATAGAATTTTCGGGTAAAAGAGAATACCATGTTAATGCACCCTTAGTGAATGTTTCACCAAATTTCTTGACCAATACAGATTCAATCTCCTGTTTGGTCAAGTCATTGCCTTTGACGCCTGTTGTGAATGCAGTCACGTGGTCTCGTGGATCAGTTGTTCCATCATATTTTGGAATAGCAGGCATTTTAAATTTCTTTGGAATTGGGAGGGGAGCAGCACTTGGCTTCCAGGGTTGTTGCGAATATTTATCCATATCTATCCCTTTGATCACAAGTGGCACCCTGGGTATTTGCTCTATGCGGTCATTTTGCTCCTTAAGCTGTTTCTGCAATGTGAGTACTAAATTTTGTAGATCAGAATTGACTAAGTTACCTGGTATTCCTTCTTGTGATTCGCTGGGGGTTTCACCACTTCCTGAATTTACAAGCCCAGAACGAGGATTCTCCAAAGTGTTGTTATTTGGAGTGGGTGTGAGTGGTGCAACAGGTAACTGGCTAGCAAAAGCTTCAAGAGCTTTATTAACTTGTGCAGCAATTAATTTTTGCAAAGCTTGATCGATAGCTTCAACATTTTCAAATTGAGCGTTTCCATGTGCATGAGATCCATCAGGAGTGCCTTCTCGAGACCGTCGAGGAGAGCTTTGTGGAGAAGGAACAGGAGTATGATTATCTTGTTGATTCCCCTGAAGTTGTTGGTTTTCTTGATTTCCTTGAGTGTTGTCATTATTGTTCGACGTGGTTGATGTAATAAGGAAAGTTAAGCTAAAAAGAATAGATTATCAGATTCCCGGTAACGGAACCAATTTGTTTAACCAAAAAATAGAATTTCAGTCAAAGCTTTATTTTAAGAAGAACACGGGCTACTGATAATCGGAAATGAATAAGAATAATCGACTTTGAGAGCAATAGAATAGGTAACAGAAAATAGAGTAATTCAGTTGATATTTCGTGTCCCTACAATTGATCCATTCTCTCCCCCTTTATAGCTATTTTGGAGATACGCGTTTTGCCTTTTTCATAATAAAGTCATTATAGACAATTAAAGGCATTTAATGCTACGTTACCCAATCATTGTATTTAATACAGATTCTCTAACGTTTTTAATATTAAAGGCTCATCAAGTATTGTATCTGTACTCCTTTGTACTGTCAGGTTCATTCTCTTTAATTCTTGGACTTAAATAGGTACGGACGCTGAATCTTTCGAATAGCTGCTCGTGCCTCTTTTCATGCCTCTGCTCGTACCTGTTGCAACTCGTACCTCTTTGCTGTTCATAATTCCTTGATCGATCCACGTGTCATGACACATCATCTTTATGTAAACTCAATTTTTCCCAATACAGAGTATGCATACCACTTTTTCAGAATATGTTGTTGCTCTTACTACAATTGTTGGATAAGTACATTTCTCTCTTAAACAATTATTGTTGCTTTTGATGAAAAAAAAATTAATAATGAGTTATTTAGTTATTGTCTTGGTAGGATACAAGTTAATATTGTGAATCTATCCTCTTTCATTTCATAAGATTAATTAGCATTATGCACTATACTTTTCCCTCTAAATTAAGTTATCTTATCGGGTATACCGATAACTAAATCGATACTAACCAATAACTGATTAATTGATACCCGATAACTGATATTTTAGGCTCGATTATCGGTTTAGCATATTTATAAACCAATAACGGATATACCGAACCGATAACATTCACAACCGAACCGAACCGATCAATACCCACCCCTGCTCAATCCTACTTCTACCAAACATTAGAAAATACTAGTCTTAGGGTACGCGCTTTGCACGTGTACCTATATCAGTAAATATATAATTTTTAAAATTATATAAATATTATTAAATAATGTGTTTGAGTTATTGAACAAATATTATTGACAGAACTAGCTTAGTGAGATTAAAATTCGTTATTTTTAGGACCTTATAATTTTTAATATTTATTCAATAACTCAAAACACATCATTTAATAATATTAACGTAATTTTTAAAATTTAATATTTATTGGTATAGGTACATGTGCAAATGATAGAACATACAAATTATTTTCGAACTTTTTCCTGTTCAAATAATATATTATTATCTTTGTCAATTTGTGTAATATTTAAAAATTATATTTAATAATTAAAATATATATTTAGTTAGGTACCAAATCTCTTACTTTTCTGTAGTATATCTTATTAGAATTATAAGTTCCCAATATAACAAGAATGAATCTGAAATATATTTCCATTGAAATTGCGGTCTAATGTACAAGGAAAAGAAACGTAATATTACTTCTATTTTCCCAAATAATATCTACTTTAAAGTCCTAAATATTAGGACTTCGTACATAATTCAAATAAGGAAAAATTTAATAATAAAAAATTTAATTAAATTTAAAGTCCTATATATTAGGATAATAACTAAATTATCATTTTATCTAATGTTAAGTTTATTTTTAAAGGATAAAAAAAGCTAAGGATATTTCACTAAGGCCTTCCTAAGAGATTAAAAATTGAAATATCCTATCAATAATTATATAAATATAAATTATATATTATATATATTAGTATAATGTTATAGTAGCGCTTGGTATTTTTGGTGCCTTAATTATTTAGGGGTTTAAGGCAAGGGTTCCGAGGAAGGAAGTCGAACTTGGGAAGGTGTGGATCCTCGATCCGAGTTTTGAATGGAGTTTCGATTTGGTGAGGTACCGCCGGCTCCAGGTACAAGCTCAGGACCGGCGATGATGCCTCCTGGTACAAGCGGTAGTAGCGGAGGACCGGCTCCGCCTCTGCCACCGCCTTCTTATACTGTTTTGCCGCCCTTGATGCCGCCGCCTCCAGGTACAAACTCAGGACCAGCAATGATGCCTCCTGGTACAAGCGGTAGTAGCGGAGGACCGGCTCCGCCTCTGCCACCGCCCTCTTATACTGTTTTGCCGACGGAGGCTCAGCTTGAAGAGAAAGCTAGGAAATGGATGCAGCTTAACTCTAAGCGGTATAGTGATAAACGCAAATTTGGATTTGTGGAGACGCAAAAGGAAGATATGCCTCCGGAGCATGTTCGCAAGATTATTAGGTAATTTTTTTTCCTTTTTGCTAGTTAAATTTGTGCATTTTAGGTGTACTTTATCTGAAAATACAGGCAATCTATTTCTTAGGTGTTGTGGTTTAGTTTATTAGGTAATTCTTTGCGTCGTGAGTAAGTGCATTAGTTGGTGTGAGTTAAATCAGAAAATAGTGCATATACACACACACATATATAGGAGGTGTTTAAATTAACAATGTGGTTTCTGGAGTTCTAATATTTGGGACTATCTTTGTTGTTTCAAATTGTGTTTAAATGAATTTAAACACTTGCACAATGGGAGCAACCAGCTTCTCGAGCACCTGGAAAGTAGAACCTGAAATCATTCAAGTAAATTAAAAAGATAGAATAAAGTAAAAAGCAACTTACCCGAGTGAATTCTGATAGGATAGTAGTCCAAGTGCCTTAATCCATACCTATATTAAGTTCAGATGTCAGTATAGAAGAACTGGGGTTTTCTACATTGTCTCAACATCACCTTTACTTTTATAAATCATGACTTTGGTGATGATGTTTGCTCAGCTTTATAAACAACAACAACAACAACAACCCAGTATGATCCCACAAGTGGGGTCTGAGGAGGGTAGAGCGTCCCCAAACCTTACCCATACCCTTGGGGTAGAGAGGTTGTTTCCGATAGACCTTCGGCACAAGAAGATAAAATAAGACAATAGATCAGTAACAACAACATACGCCAGAAAGATCGTACCAGCGAGCTAAGAATCAGAAAAATAAATGGAAAAAGCAACATCAATAATCAGTACAGTGGCAAGGTACTAGGAAACCGAAGCGGAAAAATAGTACGAACACAACTTGTACCTCTAGAATACTACTAGATGGCCGGTGCCCGTGCACAGCACGGGTGTAAGCTCAACATCGCTGTTTGTATTAATATAGATGGCATAAAACTACATAAAGGTTTATTGTGAAAATAATTTCACGTTTGTTTCATACTATTAAGCTGATCAAACATTTATATCGATAACATGCCAACACGACTTACTAAATACATCCAATAAGAATCCAAAAAATTATGACAGATGTATTTGCAACATAGTACAATGTTTATCATACTCTCATCGTTCAACTTGCTTCCACGAAAAAACCTGCTGACATTACTGCACCAAGAAAAAACATCCTTTTTGAAGGTCCTTCGAGGTTATAAGCCATCCTTTTGCAATATCTCCCTATGGAGACTGAAACATCATAACCTTGCTTTTGCTAAGCTCGTTTAAGTAAAAGAGCAAAAAGATACATATTAAAATCTAAACATTGAGAACAAATGAAAACACCTCATGTTGTTGGCTAAACAAAGAAAACATTATTCATTTATGGACATGCAACTTTCTGTTTGGACATGTATGCCAAAAAAATTTAATCCAAATAATAAATGCATATGCAATTTTTATCTAATAAGCATAATTTCCTGAATTTCAGCAAACAACAATATATATTTCAAATTGTTTTAGATAGTAACTTACTACTGCTACTCCTGATAAATATAAGTTAATGCTGAAAAAATATTAGTAGTATGTTTTAAAACCAAAAATATGGTGGACAACAGATAATTAGCTACTATAGTCCATGAAATGCATGATCATGTAAATTGGAGACTTGATATGCAATACTGGACTGGCAAACACATTTGGTTTTGCACTTGAGATATCTCAAGTGGTAAATGCATGATCATGTAAATTGGAGATTTGATATGCAATACTGGACTGGCCAACACATTTGGTTTTGCACTTGAGATATCTCAAGTGGACTATTAATAATGGGATTGTATTTGTTCCAGTGCCTACTGATAGTTTGGGCTTGAGTCTCAATCCTTACAGACAAATGATATCTGAACTTTGAATTCATCTGATACTTCTTGTTCCTAATTGGACTGTATTTTCAAACATATTTGAGTTATAACTCTTGCAATTTATAGGTTAAGCGACTGCACTACATTCAAAGAAGACTAATATAGGTTTTCTTGAAATTTTTTTTATGATCATGTGCTAAATATAATCAACTAAGTAGTAACTTCTTCTTAAGACAAATAATTCTTCATATTCTACACAACTCAGCTCATAAGACGTTTGAAAGAAGTTTAAACTTTTTCTGTAACATTACCTTTTATAATTTATATCTTGTTTTTATTTAACAATCAACAATCTGCTCCAATCAAATGTCATGGAAGATAAAATTACCTCAAAAGAATGTCCTCATATCTTTTCTTGTCCTTATACTTTTGAAGAATAGCTCTAGCAATCTGGGCAGAAACAGAAATGAGTTATGACCTACACTATACACAATTTTCAAGTCGCAACAAATTATGACAATATTTCTCTACCACCCCTTTACAACCTGGAAAAAATAATTTATTCATAAACTTAGCGAGAAACTCGTATGTCATCCAATCAGTTTCAAATTTCACAGGAAACTAAGAAAAATGTCAGAAGTTATCCTGTATCTGAATCTTAGATATGGAAGCAAAAAAACCATAACACAGAGAGGAAAATTATGGCATGTCAAATCAAAAGAAGTCACTCTGAATTATGTAGATATATTAGATGTAGAAAAACTTACCCAATTTACACAGTTTCCAATTGATATGAAGCTGTCAAACTGAGCCAAAACAAATAGAAGAGCTGCCATCTTTCATCCACAAGTTTTACAAGATTGAGAAAATAAATTGAAATGAGATGAAAGAGTTATAAAGAAGACGAAGAATTCAAATGGAAATTTTTTGATCTTTTCTTTACCTTCATTGGGGGTTGTAGGATCTCGAAAAATAAGAGGCTCTGATTTTCTAAAGATACTCATTATAAAAAAAGTACCAATTTCACTACCCATAATGCTTATTCTTTTCCTACTACATGCTCACTTGATTCACCAATGTCAACGGCTTCCCTATTTACCCAAAGAAGATAAAGTAAAAATCGAATAAAAATTGAAGAGTCAGTATAATATTTGCAAGCATTAACTCTGAGATAAGAAATTTGTTCTCTTCGGTCAAACCCATGAACTTATATCTCATATCTCGCAGGAATCTGTCCAGTTTTACGAAAGAACACTTCAATCTTCAGATAGCCAATCATTGCATCAAAATGCAACTTTGTTCTATAAACAATTATAGGACTTCCTGTAATCACTGAAAATAATAAAATGCATTAAACAGTCGTATTCAAGGGTAGTCGCAATTTGATACCTAAAATTACAACCTCAATGTTCGATTTACTCTACCGATCAATTCAAGCTTCAGTGATGACCATATTATTACCACCCGAAGGATAATATTGGTAGAGTTTATCTCTTAATTCTGCTCAACCTGAAAGTCTAAAAGCAAGCTTTCGGATTCCTTAAGTTGCAATTTCCTCCATATGTTATATTTAAGGATCCTATGAAGGTATTACCTTACATGGGAAAGCGTGTTTGCAGCTTCTGGTATAGCTTACATTCTTTCCAAGTTAGAGCACCAATGGTTGATTTACGAACGTCTAAGACAGGAATGCGCAATTTTACATCAATAATTATACTTTGAATGAAATATTATGAAAATTTTCCCCCAATTCACGGGAATGCACAAGTTTACATCGTTGAAGACAATCCTAATTTACTTGCTAATAGCATAAGAGAAACAAAAGAAATTCTTAGCAAATAGTTAAGTTGTTTCAGGCATATCACCGAACACCTTGGGTTCATTAGTCTTCATAATTTAAAATTTCAACACACTGCATATGACGTTTCGATTCACAAAATATTATTACGCAAAAGTCAGAAAAGACGTCAATGATCAGTAATCCAAAATAACACTATTAAATGCACCAGTCATCTATTTTGGGGATCAGATAGAATAAAAGACATGCATGCAAAAGATCTAGCAAGAAATTATGAGAAAGATTGGGAAAATCAAAATCTAGAAAAAAAAAGGGATAAAACCTTCAAAGAAATCCAAAAGTGATGAGCAGAAATCGGTGCAAGAGGAAACAAACAGGAGAAAACTTACCAGATGTAGCGAATGAAATAGAGGCTGCAAAATATAACCCGAAAAACCAAAAAAATTGAAACAAAATTGAACAGAAATGAAAGAGCAGGGGGGAAGACTCACCAAAAAGCAGACATAGGGGAGGAAGAAAAAACGACGGAGAGAGATAAAGACGTACCAAAGATCTGACCCACGTTGGTCTCTAATAAATGACACGTAACAATTTCGGAAAAGACAAAAGAGCCACATAGTTTATTAAAATGCCCACACTTCAAGTCATATTAACAGAAATGCCCTTCGTCGTACGAAGAACTTCTGCTTATTATATAGTTAAAAAACAAGACACTGACCGAGTACCCTTAAACCCAGAACGGAGTAGAAAAACGCTCAACTACCTACTAACCTTCAATCCTAATGCTCGCCCTCCACATCTTCCTATTAAGGGTCATGTACTCGGTGAGCTGGAATCACGCCATGTCCTGCCTGATCACCTTTCCTTAATACTTCTTAGGCCGCCCGCTACGTCTTCTCATACCTGTCAAGGCCAACCGCTCGCACCTCCTAATCGGGGCATCTAGGCATCTCCTCTGCACGTACCTGAACCATTTAACCCTCGCTTCCCGCATTTTGTCTTCTATGGGAGCCACACCCACCTTTGTCCGAATATCTTCATTCCTAATCTTATCCAACCTAGTGTGCCCGTACATCCATCTCAACATCCTCATTTCTACTGCTTTCATTTTCTGGTATCTTGACCGGCCAACACTCTGCCCTATATAACATGACTGGCCTAACCACCGCTCTATAGAACTTGCCTTTAAGTTCCGGGGGCACCTTCTTGTCACACAAAATGCTAGTTGCTAACCTTCATTTCATCCATCCTGCCCCTATACAGTGTGTGACATCCCCGTCAATCTCCCGTTCCCCTGGATAATCGGCCCAAGGTACTTAAAATTTCTTTCTTGGAGATGACTTGTGAATCAAGCCTCATGTCCCTGTCCGCTCCTCCCGTCGCGACCCTGAACTTGCACTCCAAGTACTCTGTCTTAGTTCTGTTCGACTTGAAACCCTTAGACTCAAGGGTATGTGTCCAAACCTCCAGCCTCTCGTCAACACCGCCTTGTGTCTCATTAATCAGAACTATATCATTAGCAAATAACATACACCATGGCACCTCCCCTTGGTATGGTGTGTTAATGCGTCCATCGCCAGGGCAAATATAAGAAAGGGCTAAGTGCAGATCCTTGGTGTAATCCCATCACCACCGGAAAATGCTTCGAGTCTCCTCCTACTATCCTAACCCAAGTCTTGGCTCCATCATACATGTCCTTAATCACACTAATGTATGCTACCAAAACACCTTTTACCTCCAAGCATCTCCAAAGAACCTCCCTTGGGACCTTGTCTTACGCTTTCTCTTGGTCAATAAACACCATGTGCAAATCCTTCTTTCTATCTTGTACTGTTCCACCAACCTCTTGATAAGATGGATAGCTTCCGTAGTTGAACAACCATGAATCCGAATTGGTTCTGGGATATAGACACAGACCTCCTCACCCTCATTTGCTCAGCTTTATGAAGTGTGATATTGTTGTGTTTTTCTCTCCTTTGCTTATCGAGCTCATACATCTTACAGGGACCATGGGGATATGTCATCAAAAAAATATCGTCATGATAAACGTGTGTATCTCGGAGCTCTTAAATTTGTCCCTCATGCTGTTTACAAACTTCTTGAGAACATGCCTATGCCGTGGGAGCAGGTACTTCCTACTGTCTTGCTGATTGTTTTATTTTGACAAATCGTGCCGTGTCTTGTTCTAGTAGTTGAATCCTCATTTTGTTCTGTAATGCTTTTGTTTTAACAGGTTCGAGATGTGAAAATCCTGTACCATATTACTGGTGCTATTACATTTGTTAATGAGATACCATGGGTTGTTGAACCTATATATCTGGCTCAGGTATGCTACTGGACCCCTGCTTTGGTTTCTTTCTTACTCCACTAAACGATATATTTTGGACTGATTCATAATCATGAAATCTGCAGTGGGGCACTATGTGGATCATGATGAGGAGGGAGAAGAGAGACCGGCGGCATTTCAAGAGAATGCGTTTTCCTCCTTTTGACGATGAGGAGCCTCCGTTAGATTATGCTGATAATCTTTTGGATGTTGATCCGTTAGAGCCTATCCAGTTGGAGTTGGATGAAGAAGAAGATTCAGCTGTTTATAACTGGTTTTATGACCATAAGCCACTTGTGAAAACAAAGCTTATTAACGGTCCTAGTTACCGCAGGTGGCATTTGTCCCTCCCTATAATGGCTACACTTCACCGGCTGGCTGGACAGCTGCTTTCAGATCTTACTGATCGCAATTACTTCTACTTATTTGATATGGAGTCCTTTTTCACTGCTAAAGCATTGAATATGTGCATACCTGGTAAGGGATATGCTCAATTGAGTCATTAGTTATATGTTTCCGTCTTCTAAGTTCTTAGCTATTTGGTGTGCCCATAAAATGCTAGTGGTCTGAACTGCTTCAGCTTGCCTAGCTGAAGATCAGTATCCTCCCATTAAATTTTAAGTTTTCTTTTTCTGCCTAGTATCTGTGTAATCTTATCGAGAAGGTATACCTGAGTGCTAGGTAGTTCAGGAACCAATTATGATATTGGTGAGTTCTCCCATCTGTTCAGTATTTGTTTGGGTATTTCCATGTTCGCCCTGCATATTTGGCTATCCTCTCCTAATTTAGGTAATGTGTGACATTCCAACAGGATCGCCTTCTAGCATCACTTTTTGTCCATTTTTTCCTGGCCTTGGGTGGCTGGATTAGGGAATAAATTTTCATGGTATGTGTTGAGGCGTAGTTATTTTTGTTGTATTGAATCTTCATGGTTGGTGGACTGTTTCCATTAAGTAGCTTCTTTTCTGCTGCAGGTGGGCCCAAGTTTGAACCTTTATATCGTGACATGGAGAAAGGAGATGAAGACTGGAATGAGTTTAATGATATCAACAAATTGATCATCAGGTCACCGCTGAGGACAGAGTACAGAATTGCCTTCCCTCACCTCTATAACAACAGACCAAGAAAGGTGAAGCTTGGTATATATCACACTCCGATGATCATGTACATAAAAACAGAGGATCCAGATCTACCTGCTTTCTATTATGATCCGCTTATACATCCCATAGTCACCAAGGACCGGCGAGAGAAGAAAGTTCATGAGGATGACGATGATGATGACTTTACCTTGCCTGAGTGTGTTGAGCCATTGCTGAATGAGACTCCAATCTATACTGATACTACTGCTGCTGGTATTTCCCTGTTGTTTGCCCCACGCCCATTTAACATGAGATCTGGTCGGACAAGACGTGCTGAAGATATACCCCTTGTGTCAGATTGGTTTAAGGAGCATTGGTATGGTTCCATCTTCACTTTTACTTTTGTTGTAGCAAGCTAATCTTTATATCGTGAATGTATCTAACTATCTATTTTGATTTCCTCCAGTCCTCCATCATATCCTGTCAAGGTGCGTGTCAGTTATCAGAAGTTATTGAAATGTTTTGTGTTGAATGAGCTGCATCACAGACCTCCCAAGGCCCAGAAGAAGAAGCATCTCTTCCGCTCACTTCAAGCCACAAAATTTTTCCAAACCACAGAACTTGATTGGGCTGAAGCTGGTCTCCAAGTTTGCAAGCAGGGATACAATATGCTGAATCTCTTGATCCATAGGAAAAACCTGAATTATCTTCACCTTGATTACAATTTTAATTTGAAGCCTGTTAAGACGCTAACTACAAAGGAACGTAAGAAATCCCGGTTTGGTAATGCTTTCCACCTTTGTCGTGAAATTCTGCGTTTGACAAAGTTAGTTGTTGATGCCAATGTTCAGTTCCGTCTGGGAAATGTTGATGCATTTCAGCTGGCAGATGGCTTGCAATACATTTTTTCACATGTGGGTCAGTTGACGGGTATGTACCGTTACAAGTACAGGCTTATGAGGCAGATTCGAATGTGTAAGGATTTGAAACATTTGATCTATTATAGATTCAATACTGGGCCAGTTGGAAAAGGTCCTGGTTGTGGTTTCTGGGCACCTATGTGGAGGGTGTGGTTATTCTTCCTTCGTGGTATAGTGCCACTTTTGGAACGATGGTTAGGAAATTTACTGGCGAGGCAATTTGAGGGTCGCCATTCAAAGGGGGTGGCCAAAACTGTCACAAAGCAACGTGTTGAAAGTCACTTTGACTTGGAGCTCCGTGCTGCAGTAATGCATGATGTCCTTGATGCTATGCCAGGTGATAATCTTCTATTATTGATTGTCCGTCTTTCTTCGGATGCTTTCGTTTCTTTACATTACTCGAACCAAATCTTTTTGCTAATATTGTGCCTCTTTACTTTAGAGGGTATCAAGCAAAATAAAGCGAGAACCATTTTGCAGCATCTAAGTGAAGCATGGCGTTGTTGGAAGGCAAATATTCCTTGGAAGGTACTATTCTTCTCCTTTTCCCCTCTTCTGTAACAATGAGTTTCGCTTAAGACTACACATCTATTTAATTAATTCTTTTGGCTATTTGTTTTATTAGGTCCCAGGTTTGCCTGTTCCTATTGAGAACATGATTCTCCGCTATGTCAAATCAAAAGCTGATTGGTGGACAAATGTTGCTCACTACAACCGTGAACGTATAAGAAGAGGAGCAACTGTTGACAAGACTGTGTGTCGTAAAAACCTTGGAAGATTGACTCGCCTTTGGCTGAAGGCTGAACAGGTGAGCTTACTGATATTATCTGTGGGTTTTCTTTTACTCAAAAAATTGCATTGGTGTTATAATATCTGCTTATTGTAGACAAGCTTGGTGGTAATTCATGTTGCTTTGTGGTTTCCTTCAATTAACAGGAGCGGCAACATAACTACTTGAAAGACGGCCCATATGTTACTCCAGAAGAAGCAGTAGCTATTTATACTACCACTGTGCATTGGTTGGAGTCGAGGAAGTTTTCTCCTATTCCATTCCCTCCATTGTCATACAAGCATGATACGAAGCTACTTATCCTTGCTCTTGAGAGACTGAAAGAATCTTACAGTGTGGCTGTGAGGTTAAACCAGCAGCAAAGAGAAGAGTTGGGCCTCATTGAGCAAGCTTATGATAATCCGCATGAGGCATTATCAAGGATAAAGCGTCACCTACTTACTCAGCGTGCCTTCAAAGAAGTAAGTGTTACTATTTGAAATACATTTTTGAGTGTTGAGGAGCTCAATGTACTGATTTGAGGGGAGCAACTATGATCTTGTTGCATTATCCTAGGTTTATAAAGTTTATATCCTATGGGGTTTTTATTTTTAAGACAAGTTATGCTGGGATTAGTTATGCTGTGACTAGTAATCCTGGTATTATTTCTTATTGACTGTTTGGTATCAATTTTACTGCTTTATCTTTGGATTACTATTCCACTATCGGGTAGATATAAGTTATCTCGGTACTATTCTTAATCCTGATTCCTGAGATTATTTTTATCCCAGGATTATTTTTGCTTATCCATCATACCAAACGACTCCTAAGTATTTACTTAATCCAAATAGCCTAAACGAGGTTGCTGAAAGGTCATACAAGAATCAGGGATATCAGATAGTTAGACCACTCTTGCTACTGCTGCCATACCATGGTCCAATTTTCCCATAATTTTGCACACTGAGAGTGAGAGATTTGGTATCATGTAAATTCTGCTGAAAAAACCTAGGTCTATGATATGTTGGAAAAATTCCTTGCTAGGATTAAATATAAATTGGAGTTACCCCTCTTGCTCTCTATATTTACACACACACACACACACACATGTATTAGTTATTTGAAATTTGGGTTAGAGAAACAAGATAAGACGTGTGCTCTGATCATTTCCTGGAAGTTGCTGAAGAGAGAGCTTCTAATTCAGTTTGGTAGTATCTGTAAGAATGTCTTTCTTTAAGCATGAACTGATGATTGCATTTCACAGGTTGGCATCGAGTTCATGGACTTGTACAGTTACCTGATTCCTGTTTATGAGATCGAACCACTTGAGAAGATTACTGATGCGTACCTGGACCAGTACCTATGGTATGAAGGTGATAAGCGCCATCTCTTCCCAAATTGGATTAAGCCTGCTGATTCAGAGCCACCACCACTATTAGTATATAAATGGTGTCAAGGCATAAACAATTTGCAAGGAGTATGGGATACCAGTGAAGGACAGTGTGTCGTGATGCTGCAGACAAAGTTTGAGAAATTCTTTGAAAAGATTGACCTGACCATGTTGAACAGGTATTTGTTGTTGAGAGCTGCTGGTATTTAGATTTTGTAACGGTTCTCTTTTCCTTTTTGGGTATTGTGTTGACCTACTTTCATGTTCTTGCAGGCTTCTGCGTTTGGTGCTGGACCACAATATTGCTGATTATGTTACTGCAAAAAACAATGTTGTGCTGTCTTACAAAGATATGAGCCACACAAACTCATACGGGCTGATACGTGGTCTTCAATTTGCTTCGTTTGTTGTACAGTACTATGGGCTTGTGTTGGATCTTTTGCTCCTAGGTTTAACTCGAGCTAGTGAAATTGCTGGTCCACCACAGATGCCTAATGAATTCATAACCTTTAGTGATACTAGAGTGGAAACGAGGCATCCTATCCGGTTGTACTCTCGCTACATTGACAAGGTGCATATATTATTTCGCTTCACTCATGAAGAGGCTCGCGACCTTATCCAAAGATATCTTACTGAGCATCCTGATCCCAACAATGAAAACATGGTTGGTTATAACAACAAGAAATGCTGGCCAAGGGACGCAAGAATGAGGCTCATGAAGCATGATGGTAATTGTCATTTAGGCTATTTTATGTTGTGCCTTAATTTTGAGTTTCTATAATTGGTGTTTTTTCCTGATTACAGGTAAATTTAATGAGAGTTGATTTATTTTCATTTTACTGTGAAACTTGTCTTTCTTTTTGGTTAAATTCAATTTCAGTTAATCTTGGGAGAAGTGTCTTCTGGGACATGAAGAATCGGCTGCCTAGAAGTATTACTACATTGGAGTGGGAAAACAGCTTTGTCTCTGTTTATAGCAAAGATAACCCAAACTTGCTCTTCAGCATGTACGTACATCTTTCTGTTTGTTGTTTGTTATAGCTTTTTTCGTGGTGATATCTATTTAGAGAATCCTGTTGATTACTTGAATGATATTCTCGGGGTTGGGTGGTGAGGACCGGATAATTCCATATTTTGAATACTACCCCAGAATCCTTTGTGGCTAATATCTTGGGATAGGAGTTAGAACTTATTTGTGCCTTACTCTTCCAAATTTTAGACCGGCTAAAAGTTCGCCGGAATATTCATTCGTGATGAGCTGTTAATGCACACTTTCTATTAAAGTTCGAAGTGCTGAGGATCTTATTTAATGAGCTAACCTCGACATACTTGTGTAGGTGTGGATTTGAAGTTCGGATACTGCCTAAGATAAGAATGACCCAAGAGGCATTCAGCAATACAAGAGATGGAGTCTGGAATCTACAAAATGAGCAGACTAAGGAACGCACAGCTGTTGCCTTCTTGCGTGTAGATGATGAGCACATGAAGGTGTTTGAGAATCGTGTTAGGCAGATCCTCATGTCCTCTGGTTCTACAACATTCACAAAGATTGTTAACAAATGGAACACTGCTCTTATTGGTAACATCTTGTCCCGAGTTTCTGCCTATTAATTGTTTCAAACATGAACTTTGGCTCTTGCTAGTGGATCCTTGTCACTAAGGTTTTTGGTTTACTCTTGTAGGCCTCATGACATATTTCCGTGAAGCAACAGTGCATACCCAAGAATTACTGGACCTGCTGGTCAAATGTGAAAACAAGATACAAACTCGTATAAAGATTGGTTTGAACTCAAAAATGCCCAGTAGGTAAGTTCTTGAATACGTGTGAGCGTATGGTGGAATTATTTTAATTCTCAGTAAATATATTTTCAACATCTCTTCTAATGATGAATATGCTTTAGGTTTCCTCCTGTTATTTTCTACACACCAAAGGAAATTGGAGGGCTGGGAATGTTGTCAATGGGTCACATATTGATCCCGCAGAGTGATCTTAGATATAGTCAGCAAACAGATGTTGGTGTGACACATTTCAGAAGTGGAATGAGCCACGAAGAGGACCAATTGATTCCAAATCTTTATCGATACATACAGGTGACTTTTGATGCTGGCTTTGACTTTTCTCTTGTCTATTTAAATTAGTTTTACTAATACTAACTTATTACTCCTTGACAGCCGTGGGAGAGTGAGTTCATTGACTCTCAGAGAGTTTGGGCCGAATATGCTTTGAAAAGGCAGGAAGCCCAGGCACAGAATAGGCGTTTGACTCTTGAAGATCTGGAAGTGAGTAACCTTCCTATATTGATAACTTTCTCTTTCATCCTTTGCGATTATTCTACATTGTCTGCTGTACTTCTTAAGTGGTTTGTAGGCCGAGGCGAGATACATCATTTGTGATATCTGGAGTTTCCTTTCATTGTGGCGCCGAAAAGAAAAATACAAAATACAGAAGCAAATCATAAGCTAGTTAGCTTTTTTTAGGTTTTTTTTTGGGTTGGGGTGTGTGTGTGTGTGTGCGTGCGTGTGTGATATGTGTTACTTGCAGCTTTCATGTTATTTTGGCGATTGATTGTTTGCTGGTTTCGTTAACTTTCCCCTCTTGTGATTCATTAGGATTCATGGGATCGTGGAATACCTCGAATCAATACATTGTTCCAGAAGGATCGCCACACCCTAGCATATGACAAAGGATGGAGAGTGAGAACAGACTTTAAACAGTACCAAGTTCTTAAGCAGAATCCATTCTGGTGGACACACCAGAGGCATGATGGAAAGCTATGGAACCTGAATAACTATCGTACTGATGTGATACAAGCTCTTGGAGGAGTTGAAGGAATTCTTGAGCACACATTATTCAAAGGAACATAGTATGCTCTCTTCCTCATTGCTCTTTGTGTTTCTTTTAATATTATTGGGGAGCCAAAATGTTTTACTCTCTGAACTGGATTGTGTGGTTTCAGTTTGCATAACCTTTTGGTGCAGGCTTTACTAACTTTAATTTCCTTGATATTTCAGTTTCCCTACTTGGGAGGGTCTTTTCTGGGAGAAAGCTTCAGGTTTTGAGGAATCTATGAAGTACAAGAAACTGACTAATGCTCAACGATCTGGGCTTAATCAAATTCCTAATCGTAGGTTTACTCTGTGGTGGTCGCCAACAATAAATAGGGCCAATGTCTATGTTGGTTTCCAAGTACAGCTGGACCTGACTGGGATATTTATGCATGGAAAGATTCCAACTCTGAAGATATCTCTGATACAGATCTTCCGTGCACATTTGTGGCAGAAGATCCATGAGAGTGTTGTCATGGATCTTTGCCAAGTTTTGGATCAAGAGTTGGATGCGTTGGAAATTGAGACTGTACAGAAGGAAACAATTCATCCAAGAAAGAGTTACAAAATGAATAGCTCGTGCGCTGACATCCTCCTTTTTGCTGCACATAGATGGCCAATGTCAAAACCTAGTCTTGTGGCCGAATCGAAGGATGTGTTTGACCAGAAGGCTAGTAACAAATACTGGATAGATGTGCAGCTTCGATGGGGTGACTATGATTCTCATGATATTGAGCGTTATACACGAGCAAAGTTCATGGATTACACAACGGACAACATGTCTATTTATCCATCTCCTACTGGTATGTCACATGTGCATATAGTGATCAACTGAATTTATTCCCTTTTTCAGAGAAGTTATAGTTATTTCTTTTTGCAGGTGTAATGATTGGACTTGACCTTGCTTACAACTTGCATTCCGCCTTTGGTAACTGGTTCCCTGGTTCAAAACCATTGCTTGCCCAAGCCATGAACAAGATTATGAAGGTACTTTTCCCCTTTCAATCATCCATTATTTTCATGAACTGGTTTGCGTGTAGTATATGTTGCAGCTGAAAGTTTCTTAACATCCTTATGTTCCATTATGCAGTCAAATCCTGCACTCTATGTTCTGAGGGAACGCATAAGGAAAGGGTTGCAATTGTATTCTTCAGAGCCCACAGAACCATACTTATCATCTCAGAATTATGGAGAGATTTTCAGCAATCAAATTATATGGTTTGTCGATGACACAAATGTGTACCGAGTGACCATCCACAAGACCTTTGAGGGAAATCTGACGACAAAGCCCATAAATGGTGCAATTTTCATTTTCAATCCTAGGACAGGACAACTGTTTTTGAAGGTAAATGCAGTTGTTCGATCGTAATTTTCTTGTTTACTCTTGGGCAAACTCCATTGTCCTCTAACTGATGTGTGTGCTGTGCTTTTCATTTACAGGTCATTCACACAAGTGTGTGGGCAGGGCAAAAGCGTCTTGGCCAGCTGGCCAAGTGGAAAACAGCCGAAGAAGTGGCTGCGCTTGTAAGGTCTTTGCCAGTTGAAGAACAACCTAAGCAAATTATTGTGACTAGGAAAGGAATGCTTGATCCTCTGGAGGTCCACTTGCTCGATTTTCCGAATATTGTTATCAAAGGAAGTGAGCTGCAGTTACCGTTCCAGGCCTGTTTGAAGATAGAAAAATTCGGTGATCTTATACTGAAGGCTACGGAGCCACAAATGGTTCTGTTCAACATATATGATGATTGGTTGAAGAGCATCTCGTCCTATACAGCATTCTCCAGGCTCATCCTCATCCTGCGTGCACTTCATGTGAACAATGAAAAGGCTAAGATGCTACTCAAGCCTGACAAGTCGGTCGTTACTGAGCCTCACCACATCTGGCCTTCACTTACAGATGACCAGTGGATGAAGGTATGTTTAGGAAAATGTACCTATGTCTCCTCGAATATTGCCAGACCGTGATATTGTGAAAGAAACTTTTGTTAGTGGCTTTATACTCATAAAGTTAATCTTCTCTTTGGCTTGTTCAGCGGCACACCTGTGAGATTGTGTTGATTTTAATTTGGTGGAATCCTTTCTGATTCTAAACTGTGCATGGTGCAGGTCGAAGTAGCGCTTAGAGATCTCATTCTCTCAGACTATGCAAAAAAGAACAATGTCAACACATCAGCATTGACACAGTCTGAGATCCGTGATATTATACTTGGAGCTGAGATTACTCCTCCATCCCAGCAGCGACAACAGATAGCTGAGATTGAGAAACAGGTAATAATCTTGGTCCTTCTGGTACATATCAATGTCACCCCTTTGTTTTTAGAGCTTCAGTTGCTAATGTGCATCATCTTTTCAGGCCAAGGAAGCAAGTCAACTGACAGCGGTTACCACAAAGACCACTAATGTCCACGGTGACGAGTTGATTGTTACTACCACAAGTCCCTATGAGCAAGCTGCCTTTGGCTCTAAAACAGATTGGCGTGTGAGAGCAATTTCTGCAACAAATCTCTATCTCCGTGTGAACCACATATATGTAAATTCAGAGGACATAAAGGTAAAACTGGCTTTGCAATATGTTGTTTTAACTAGACATACTATACCTTTAGCACCTTGTTAGTAGAATCACTGTTACAATGGAAAAAAATTCAGTGTTAATATTTTGGTTTTTAACTGTTTGTGCAGGAGACTGGATATACGTACATCATGCCAAAGAATATTCTGAAGAAATTCATTTGCATTGCTGATCTGCGGACACAAATTGCTGGTTACTTATATGGTGTAAGTCCACCAGATAATCCTCAGGTGAAGGAAATCCGGTGTATTGCAATGCCTCCACAGTGGGGGACACATCAGCAGGTGCATCTACCTTCCGGTCTTCCGGAGCATGATTTTCTCAATGACTTGGAGCCTTTGGGATGGATGCACACACAACCAAATGAACTTCCTCAGTTGTCTCCGCAGGTTAACTTCTATTCATCTTTGTTTTATTGTGCAGCTGTAATGAGTTATATTCCAGGGGTTAGGTGGGGTTTGTTTAGCCAATTGCTCTGTGCATAGCTCTTCTGATGTGCAAGTCTTCTGAATAACAGGATGTTACTTCACATGCTCGGATCCTGGAGAACAACAAACACTGGGATGGAGAGAAGTGTATTATATTGACATGCAGTTTCACACCAGGGTCTTGTTCGTTAACTGCATATAAGCTAACGCCAACAGGGTATGAATGGGGACGTGCTAACAAAGATACAGGAAGCAACCCTCATGGTTACCTGCCGACTCATTATGAGAAGGTCCAGATGCTGTTGAGTGACCGATTCCTTGGCTTTTACATGGTAAGTTTGCTAGTCTTGTGGATTATTCAGGTGGATTTTTGATTGCTGCTCCCGTCCCATGTTTCCTGCATCTCCCTGCTTCCTTCCATGCCACTTCCGTCTAGAACTGAATCTTAATGTAACTTCGTTGTGCAGATACCTGATAATGGTCCATGGAATTACAACTTCATGGGAGTGAAGCACACTGTTAGCATGAAGTACGGGGTGAAGTTAGGTACACCTCGGGAGTACTACAATGAGGATCACCGACCAACACATTTCCTGGAATTCAGCAATATGGAGGAAGGCGACACTGCTGAGGCAGATCGGGAAGATACATTTACATAATACATTGCCATTCAAATATATGGTGGTAAGATTACCCTCAGGTCTGGGAAGTCTAATCAAGTGGTGACTTTGTTGTGGTATGTCTCAGCTATAGTCCATAGTGTTGTGGCTGATGATATTAGATGGAACCTACAAGTTGTAAATATATGAGATGAATTTGTAGCTTGATGCCACTGTATACTTTTTATCGAAGGGCGGATGTTGTGGCTCGGCTTTGTGGTTTAGCATTTAGCTCGCACCTTTTAGATGCGGCAAAACAAACAGATGTTTGTACACTAAGAGAAAGGAAATCGTGTTTTTGGTGTTTTGATTTTTCCCTTAATCCTGTTGCCTTATTCTACGCCGAGAGCAATGCAACTGAACAGTGTAAGGTTTAGAATGTTAATGAATTAAACGCTAGTAATGTCTTTATTCATATTAAAGGTTTGAGATGTTGCATCGTTGCATGTGTTTTCGGACATGTATAACTCCTGAAAAAGGTGATATTTGTCATTTGCTCGTCTCATTTGAACTTCCCTATGTATCGTTTACAGCAATCTTTACTAAATGTGACTCGAGCTTCCTTTGTTTCCTTCAACTTCCAGAAGCCGACTTATATGGGAGCGTAAGGCGTAATGGATTTGATTATTTGGCAGCACAAATTCTGGCAATTTTCAAAAAAATTGTTGCATGTTGTCAAACTGAAGTACGTTACTTTTAAGTACGTTGACGTTAAGCTACAAAGCATTGTATGTCGCTGAAGTAACTGGTCTAACTGAACCGTGCATTTTCAACACGGTGCATAGATAGAAGTCTACTATAATTTCAAATAAGAAATTTAAATTATGGGATTTCAGAAAAAGTTAAATTTTGGGCCCATAATAAGTGGTAATAATTCAGTAGTAAGAACCTAAAGTTAAACCTAACAAATTTAATCTTGGATTCTCCTCCGCAAAAATGTCAGCGCAGCTTCCTGCTTGTATTAGCTGTCCAGGATAGTTTCCAAGAACTTGGATGGAAATGCCACTTGCAAAGGCAAAAGCTATGCATCTCAACTTCCACAACAATAATCTGAACATCCAATATGCAGAACAAAGTGGTCTCTATTTGCTTCTACATCGACTCAGCTGGTAAGAAAAGTGACAAATAAGAGAAGCAGGTATGAGTGGAGATATCAATTCCAACAATAATGTTCAGATCAACATTAATATCGAAATCATGAGAGATAAGCAAAGATTATACAGACACTTAAGAGGCAGGAGAGGGAAGCACATCATTTTATCAGTTTCATTGTGTTTGACGTTGCTTAGTCGAGAAAATTAGGAAAGGTGGGATAGTTCCAGTTCGACAAATAGGTTGTTAGATGCTCACATAGGGCCAGAGATACATTCTGGGATGGAATAACTTACTCTCTGAAAAACATATGCTAGAGAAATGGCAAATCCATTGGACATAACCTTCTACCAAAACTTACTATTGTAATGTAACACACAAAAAGAGACTATCATAAATTCACTTCAGTTGTGTAAAGAGAACTAAACCACGTGATTGCTCTTCTCCACAGGAGATTAGATAGATAGCCAACAAACCACTTATTCCATCACATTACATGATATTTAAGAAGTTAGAGCAGATATTTAAGCTTTCAAAAGTGATATGAAACATACACTATTCCTATGCGACCTGGAAAAGTATACATGCTCTTCTAGCTCAAAGTTGATAGTCATAGAAAAGAACAAATTTCAAAAGCAAACCTCATTCCGTTCAGTCTGTCAACGGTATTTCTAAATATACATAAGATCCTAGGAATTCAAGTATGGAATGCAAGGTAAAGACAACTGGATCTCAATAGAGAAAACTAGTTTCAAAAAGAAAAAAACATTTTATTCGTTCTACCAGATGCATACCTGAAACAGAAAGGTCAAATAACTTAATATTTTTCTTGCAGTTTTAGAAGCAAACTTCTGTCAGTGGGTATCATAATGCCAAATCTATCCCTAAAGAATGAGGGCAACAAAATCAGCTGTTACCTAAGCAATTTCAAATTAATCTCCAGAACAACAGCTCGAAAACCAAGCCTTCCAATTACATCATGAAGCCACTGCAACATTCATCTCCAAGGTCAAATTTATAAAGACCAAAAGCAGTTTGAAAGAAGTGGATTAAGTCTATACCTTTTGTTAGTTCAGTAAAATCTGTCATTTCAGAAGCTCTTCGTGCATGCCGAGCTTAAAATTCCAAAAAACATCAGATTAAGCAGACTGTGACCACTCCTCTCCACTGCACAAGAACATGTCTGATACGCTTCTCTTCCGTTCCGGCATGTACAGAAAACCAAAACAGCATGCTTGCAACTATAGGCATAACCGAGCTGTTGCAATAGTGCTGAAGGAGTGGAATGAGGAACAAAACTCCTTTTCTTATGCTGAATCAAGGAGAAAAGTTTCTTCATCCCATCCACAGCCTAAAGCACCAAGCACTTTCATGATTTCCTCGATCCTTGAATTAGAGAAATCGCCAATTGTGAACTTTTCAACAGAACCCTTCACTTCAATGAGACTATGACCAGCCTCCTTCTTTAAGCCGCAGCCCTTTAACATTTTCCTTGCCTCTGCTACACTATCCCACTTCTCGTCTGAAGCATACAAGTTTGATAACAAAACATAAGGTGAAGTTGAAACTGGCCGAAGCTGTAGGAGCTTTTTAGCCATTCTTTCCCCTATTACAACATCACCATGCAGCCGACAAGCTGAAAGTAAGCAACCTAAAACAACTGGATCATGCCCAAAAGGGTATCTTTGCATGTATTCTTCAGCATCTTTCAGTCTCCCAGCTCGTCCTAGTAGATCAATGAGGCAAGAGAAATGTTCAATATCAGGAGTAACCCCATAAATCTCGTTCATGGTATTGAAGTAATCTAGGCCCTCATCTACAAGCCCTGCATGATTGCAAGCGATTAGAAGTCCAAGAAATGTGACAGAATCAGGCTTTAAACCGACATTCCTCATCTCCTCGAACAATTTTATAACTTCTTTTCCATGGCCATGGTTAGCAAATCCAGCAATGACACTATTCCATGAGACAAGATTATGACAAGTCATTAGCCTAAAAGCTGTATATGCATACTGAATACAGCCACATTTAGCATACATGTTCACAAGTGCATTGCCAACACCAATGTCTACACTTGGGCTTGTTCTAATGATATGTGCATGTATTTGCCGCCCAAATTGCATAGAACCCATGCCAGCAGATGCAGAAAGCACACTAGCATAGGTAAACTCATCAGGCCTTCCGTCAAAATACTCCAACATCTCTCTAAAAACGCGCAATGCCTTAGAATGATCATCACAACGAGAACAAGCAGCAATGAGAGTATTCCATGAAATGACATCTTTCTCTTTGATTGATCTGAAAACTTTTTCAGCTTCGTCTAACAAGTTTATATTTGAGTACATTATCATTATTACATTGCCTATAAAAGCAGTCCCGTCAAGTTTGAGCTTCATCGTTTGGCTATGCAATTGCATTCCTTTCCCCAAATCATCTTCAGAATTGCAGGTTCCTAATAACCCCACAAAGGTGAAGCAGTCTGGCAGCAACCCTTGTCGGCACATACATTTGTATACTTCAAATGCTTTCTCTCTTTGATTACTTTCTACCAAACCCATAATGATTGCGTTATAAGAGACATCAGTTAGATTAGGTGTTCTTGCAAAAACTGATAGAGCATCACCACATTGACCATTTTTCATGTACATTGAGATCAGAGAGTTGGACACAAACGAAATGGACGAACAGCCTAATTTGATAGACTGGGCGTGTATTTGTCTACCAAGTTTCAGGGCCAAGAGGTTAGAACATGAACTAAGAGCACTAGCAAGGACAAATTCATTGGGCTCTAGTGGCATTTGGGAGTAAAGGTTGATAGCCATGAGATGCTTCCCGTCTTGGCTATAACCAGAGATCATGGCTGACCAGGTAATGAGATTTCTCTCGGACATCTCATTAAAAACTTGACTGGCAAAGTTGATATTTCCACACTTGGCATACATGTTGAGGATGTGATTGGATATGACAACGTCATCTCGCAAGCCTGACTTGATCGCCGCAGCATGAAGAGAGAGGCCATAACAGAATCCCTTGGTCTTAGAGCAATGATGCAATAGTGAACCAAGAATTTCTGGTACCATTTACGGCAGCACTAAGTGAAGTTCTTACGTAATATGCATCTCTTCTTATATCAGAAAGGTCCTCCATTCAAGAATTTCATCTACTAAACAACTTAAACACGGACGTCTCAGCAAGCAAATAAACCTGCACGAAAGGTTCGGTGAATAAGGGCAGAGGACAAAAATGACTCAATTGATGATCATAGCCAATTCAAATTAAAGTACAAGTTTCTGTTCTTTCATTATCAGGTCAATCACATGGAAGCCCCACATAACGGCAAATATTTCAAAAACATCCTTCACATAAAAGAAAACCATAGTTTGTCCAATAAAACCACTTACTCGAGCTTCTGTGTTACCCTTATCCTTTCTCCATTTTGTTTTCATAATTAGCTTCATATCGGCATTAACTCCTAAATTGGTCCTATTTTCCTTCTTATCTTCTCCAAACAGCATAACTACACTCCAATAAAGAAAATAGTAACAACCCAAAAAAAGAAAAAAGAACAAAGACAAAGGCAAAAGACAATCTAGTAAAGAATGAAAGACAAGAGGAAAGACACATGGTGAAGTGGAAAATGCTGCAAATCCAAGCCATTCAAAAGCTCTCTTTACCACATTGAATGTCATTTTCTCGCTTTTGAAAATCAAACTTCAATGTTATTTGTCATTAACTCCTTGAACATTTTAATTACTTTTAAGATGAGAAAAAGCTGAATCTTGACATTTCATGCATTATATAGTACACACACACATTAAAAAAAAATCAAGCATCTTCTTAATAAGTAAGAAATAAAATTAATAACCTTACTAATGCATTCACAAAATTGTCCAACATACAGTAATCAAACCAAACAGCACAAGTTCTTTGAAACAGAAGGACTTATGCAACTTGACCAAATAATTCTATTAAAATGTACAAGCAAATATCATAACATATAGAAAAGTTAATTGCACTCCATCTTCAAGAAATTATAAACCCCATCAAAAAATATTCAACCTTTTTCTTCATAATAAACATAAAAGTTGTGGGGTACCACCAGAAAATTACCTATGAAGTAAGGTGGAACAAGAATTCAACTTGGGTCAAATCTTATATTTCTTCCTTCTTTCTTCTTCCCAGAAAGCTAACCTAAGCACAATTTCAAGAATTTCTCCAAAACCCTTTTCACTGGAATTAAGTTTGATACTAAAAACCTAATCTTGGATCATTATTAGAAGATTTACTACTATTTCTTTTTTAAATGTTTGTATCTTTATTTATTTCTCCCCCTTATTTTCAGTTCATTTTTAATAATAATGAAAAGAGTTTTCTCTAAATATTTGAAAATCATATATGGGCCGTAAAAGCAGACCTGTAATGTGGATATCATGGGCTGAATAGTTGTCCACATAATATGGGCTGAATAGTTGTCCACATTTAGCCTATTCACAAAATTCTACGCACAGATGCTGTAAAAAAAAGATTTAGACAATCAGGTTAGGTTATTATAAGTAAATTTATTAAAATATTAATTAATTATCTAATTAAAATGGTTACCAACTTTCTATTACATATAAAGATTCATTGATAGCGTGAAAAAATTACACATTGTTGGATGTATATAACTTAAATTCAAAAAAAAAACATATTCGAGCTATATATACTGATTTTTTACACTGCTAGTATAGGTTAACTTGTGATAGTAGTTTAGTTATCATATCTAATTTGTTGCCCGTTATCATTTACTGTAAATATTTGCTTGTAATTGACTTATAAATAATATGATTGTGCAAATATTTTTACATATTTAGTAGGCCTTTGGCCATAAGTTTTGGAACTTTTATTTTTCAAGAAAAAATTTCAAGTATGTGTTTGTTTATAGAATTAATCTAGTTTTGGGAGATTTTGAAAAACAAAATTTTAAATCCCAAATATAGCTTAAGACGTCTTTTTGGGCCAAATTATAACCATTTGGGACGTTTTAGCGTGTCAAAACTTGTAAAAATTGCACGGGGCGCCCTATTTGGTCGCCCCCATTTAACCTATACGCATTTTTTTTTTAAAAGTTTTAACTTGTACCCACTTTTTGAACAACTTCAGCTCCATTTCTCCTCCTCATCCTCCTCCTCAAAGTTATATCCGCCCTCAATCCGATAGGCCACTCCTTTCTGAAGTCGCTGATTATGAAAATGTTCCAGTAATTGACATNNCTTACGAGACTGAAACGTTGCCCAAGTTACAAAACAAAAAACTTCAGCAATTACAAACAAAAACTTCAGCAAATAGAGAATAAAACTTCAGCTACTATGCTTAAGTTCAGCAATTACAAACAAAAACTTCAGCACACTTGGTTCAGCACACTTGCTACTTTAGTCCCGTCTACTAGAATGCTGAAGTTTTGCGTGATTGCCTTTGCTACTTCAGCCCCGTATGCTGAAGTTACGCGAAAAAGTGGGTACGCTTGCAATTTTTTTGCAAAGCGGACACAAGTTAAAACGTGACCCAGAAAGCGAGTGTAAATGCAAATGCCCCTCAAAACTTGCCCAAATTCATGTTCAAATACATTTTCAAATCAAATTTAACCCAAATCTGCTTTTTCAAAAAAATATTTGAGAATTTATGTCCAAACATGTCCTTAATGCCTAGAAATTAAAATTAAAAGAAAATTGGGCTCGTCTAGGATTTTAAGGAATATTTTGCCCTTGCTTTCATGTTTTATTAGGGTTTTTTTTTTGTAGCTTTTTTCAATACATGTTCCCAAATGGATTTTCACTTTACTCAACTCTCAAGCTTAATAGACAGTCCTATTCATTATATATCAATTGCCTTAACATGCATATGTGATCAAAATTCTGCAACCATCAAATGATTTAGAGTATATCTAACAATCTAATAAAATAATTCTGCAACCATCAAATGATTTAGAGTATATCTAACAATCTAATAATATTTTATGAGATTTTTATATTCCTATACACTATATGAAACTATATTACCTTCTCTACTTAAGTTTTACTATAATTACATTTTATATACCCAATTACCATTTATGTACATTTTAAGAGAATTAATGATAATAATTAGTGTCCTAAAATTACTCTAACATAACCTCCCCCCCCCCCCCCCACACATTTCTCTCTCCACATCCCATCCCCCTCCCCCACGTATCTTGCACCCACCCACGATTCCACCTTTGACAACCATTAAAAAGCTTTGAAGCTTTGAATTCGAATTTGGGTTTTTAAAAAACATTATTTGTTTGAATTGGATGTTGTTGCAAAGAGTTGAGAATTCTCTCTACAACTCTCTCTATCTCTCAATCCCTAATTTCAGTAATGTAAAGCAAAGGAAAAGAGAGCAGCAATTCCACCATTGACAGCCATTAAAAAGCTTTGAAGCTTTGAATTCGAATTTGGATTTTCGAAAATTATTATTTGTTTGGATTGGCTGTTGTTGCAAACAATTGGGAATATGATTTGGAGTTTATATCTCAATTTTGAGGGGTTTTGGTGAAGATTAGACTTGTTTTTGGTTGAATTTCAGATTGAAACTCGAAGAAGAAGAAGACATGATATACATTATATTTACGAAATTATAGTAAAATTGTAGAAAATTTATATTCTGTTGTTTATATATTGTTATTTATTTATTTAACTATTGTATGAAAGTTGAACAATATTGTATTAAAATTATATTTAAGTTGTATGATATTGTAGTTGTATATAACTGAGTAGAAATAATGTATGAAAGTTATAGCTAAGTTGTAGATAGGTTGTAGATAAATTGTATAATATATAATTAGTTGTATGAAATTTGTTTTTACTATGTATAAATCAGATACAAAATATATAAAAGACATAATGTATAAAATTTGTATAAAAATTGTATTTAAGTGGTATGATATTGTAGTTGTATATAACTGGGTAGAAATAATGTATGAAAATTGTAGATAAGTTATAAACACAAGCAGTATAACTTGTATTTAAGTGCGCTCTTGTTTTCCTCCCAAAACCTCAAAAATGAAATATATCACTTGACTGAACTGAACTTCCTGAACCTGGTAACATACGTATGAGAAGACTGAGGACGCACAGGAAAAGATGAAAAATTCTAGCCAAGAGGTTTTGGATTTTGTTTAGTTATTTGCCCTCCAAATAATATTGATTCCAAATATAAAAGGAAGTAATATATTTTGTTCATAGGCACACAAAAGGAAGTACTATTATGAGTTGGTTACGTTAGTTATCAATCTAGAGAGACAAAAAATTCCCTTTTCCTCCTTAGAAATATAGAAATGAAAAAATCTCATATTTTATTATGAAATATAGTAGAATACATAGATTCATATAATCGATCCAACTAAATGTTACATTAAGGCATAATTTATTGATTAATGAATAGTGGTCTTATCATAGATTGGTACATCCTTACTTTAATTCATATTTAAATCTTTCATATATCGAATAGCACTTGACAAAATGATCAATTTCACGTCTTAACCTATATCACTTTAAGGTGACATGCAAATGCTTCTTCTCAATTTTATGTTGTTCCTGTTTTTCGTATGATTTCTTTGTTGATACTAATATTGTCTCCTTTTTGTCTTTTTGTTTTCTTGAGCCGAGGGTCTTTCGGAAACAACCTCTCTATCCCTTCGGGGTAGGGACAAAGTCTGCGTACACACTACCCTCTCCAGACCCCATTAATGGAATTTTACTGGGTTGTTGTTGTTGTTGTTGTTGTTGTGACATGCAATGCAGGAGTTAAGATTTTTATTTCTTTTTGTAGCCACGGGCTTAATGTGTAAAGCTACACCTACATGCCAAAATTTGTAGAAATGGCGTGGGATAGCCATTTTTTAACATGGTATTAGTTTTTATTCAGTATTTTTAATGTTGAGCAAATATAGTCACTACTCTATTAAAATTAATACGAAAAGATATTTTTACCCTTTCTTCATGAGTGCTGTGTAAATATTAAGGACATGGTGTCCTTAACATTTACACTGCACACATGAAGTTAAGGATGCCATGTCCTTAACGTTTACACTGCACGTATGAAGTTAAGGACATGATGTCCTAAAGTTTAACAACAGAAGGTGCACTTTGTCCTTAATATTTACATCATTCATGAAGTTAAGGACATCATGTCCTTAATATTTACACAACACTCATGTCTAGCACAGGGGTATTTTCGCCCGGACGGGTAAAAATTTATTAAGCATTGGCTAAAAAGTAAATAGATTTTAAACAGTGGCTAAAGAGTAAAATCTCTAATTAGTGGCTAACTGTGCAACCTCCCCCCTTACCCCCCCCCCCCCTCCCGAATTTCTGTACCCGCATTTTTTTTGGGATAAATTCACAAATATTTATTTTGTAGCCCTTGTAATTGAAAAATAATTATTTTCATAAAGTTTTAAATTTACAGATATAACTCCATAACAATCTCCTGTAGTTTCAAATTATATGTGGCTGAAAAATGGCTAATCGTGCTATTACTTCGAAATTGACGGAGTAATAATTTTACTTTCTTTAAAAGAGACATCAAAGAAATGAATTTTAGGTTTCCTATTTGAAGGAGATTTACAAAGTAATATTTTACTGTACAATGAACCAATTCAATTGTATAATTTATTTATGGCCACTACTTAAAAACTTGACGCAAGACCGTCCGTGGACAAAAAAAGATACTATTTACTCTCTTCCTGTATCTTGGTCAAATTGAAACGAAAAGAGATGACTAAATTCCAAAAATTATAAATTTTACATAGTGATGTGAAAAAGAAAACAATTATTTATCGCTTTTATTGCAAAAAGTAACTTTTTTGGTGATTTTAATGGTGTAAGGAAAGTCAAAGACAATGCGATCATAACAGTTGTAGAATAGGTAATTCAACTAATTGATCATCATACTCACACTTTTCCCCTATTCATGAGTCACAATCGCATTTTGAAATAATTACGTGATTTATAAGTGAGCAAAAGTAATTCAAATATTTGCTGAAATTTATTGATTTTTATTTATATATTCATATCCCTTGTTAAAAATGCTGCTCTCCCGTGAAACCATAGGCGAATCAAAATTTTGCAGACAATGGGTGCATTAATACTATTTTAACATAGATTTTGGCACTCATGTCAATAATCTTTTAAAAATCGGTCGAACCAGCCGATACCAAATCGGTTGTTAAGTTACTTTAATAAAAATATAAATTTATAATCTTACCGAATAATTAAGGTATGTGTATAATTTTATTTATAAAAAAACGGATCGAATGAATTTGTAATAATAAAATATATATTA